CTATTTTGGGTATTTTTGGGAACTTAAGACTTATATATTTGGTATAATTACTTTTGAAAGTGATATACATACATATATATATATCAAGTCTGGTCTCTATAATAAATTATTTGGCACAGTATATTATCGCCCTTGCTTATACTCAAGCTGGATATCAAATAGCTACAATTTTTCTTCCCAAAAATAATGGCACAATTTCATATTTTCTATATGCAAATCATATAGCAAGGATCAATAGCCAATCCGAACAACCATTGGCTTCTCAATTAGATAGTGTTGCCACACCTTTGTGGCATGTCTAATCGCTAATTTTTCTTAATCATGTATAGAGTAATTGTACTCTATCTTTTTGAGCTACCATGATTCATATGCCACAAGTTGAACGTCCCTACTAAAATCTTATTGAAAGACCTCTCCAATAGCAAAGTCAAAAGCATCAATGTTAAGTGTACAAGGAAGATTAGGATCATACAGTTGCAATATTAGAGCAGTAATGAATGTCTCCTTCAACTTATCAAAGGTATTTTGCTACTCTAGTTTTCATTCAAATGGGGCAATTTTTTCCAATAGGCTTATTAATGAGGCAGCAATGTGAGAAAATTGCCAAATAAAAGGACGACAATATCCAATAAGGCTTAAAAATAAGCAAACTGCATAAGCATCTTTGAAGGTTAGCCAATCTTCCACTGCTTTCACCTTATCTTGTTCCATACACATGCCTTTAGAAGACACTACATGCCTCAAAAAGGTGACTTTCGACTTCTAAAATTCACATTTTGATTGCTTGCAATAGAAGCAATTTTCTTATAGCGAGCACAGTACCTCTTATAGGTGTTGCTCATGCTCTTCACGGTTTTTACTATATATGAGGATATCATCAATAAAGACAACTACATACTTATCCAAAAGGTCTCGAAACAATTTGTTCATGTGATTTTTGAAAGATGTTGGAGCATTGGTGAAGCCAAATAGTAAAATCAACCATTCAAAATGTCCATAGCATGTACAAAATGTCATCTTTTTCACATCCTCTCTTGCAATAGGTATTTGCCAATAACCACTCCAAAGATCCAATTTATTAAAGATGGTCACACCTCAAAGTTGGTCAAAAAGATCATCCACACGTAAAAGTGGATATGTATTTTTAACAGTCTGTTTATTGAAACCTTGATAGTTGATGCAAAAACAAAGTCCACCATCTTTCTTAGATACAAAGAGTACAAGTGCTTCCTATGGTGATGTGCTTTTTCAAATGAATTCTTTTTCTAAGAGTTCATCCAATATCTTTTGCAGCTCTTCAAGTTATTATAGTGCTAGGCAATAAATTGGTTGACTTGTTAGTTTGGCTCCAAACAATAGTTCTATTTAAAAAAAGGTACCTTGATCAGGAAGTACGCCACTAGATAGGTTGGTTGGGAAGACATCTTGATATTCCCATATAAATTGTTCTGCCTATTCTATTCCTTCAATTATCTTTTCCACCAATGATATAAGATTTAGAACTACCATATATGCTGGTTGATCATGCTATAGTTGTTTTTTCATAAGCATTGTCTCTACTAGTAAGTCTTTGGTTGTAGATTGTCTTTCGTCTTCACCCGATGTAGAGGTACAAAGAGTCACCTTGCATGCTCCATCTTGAAAAGACATTACTATTGCTACTCAATCAACTTGCTTATTTTTCATTTTTAGCTATAGCAAACCAAGGATAATATTATACCTTAGCTTTGTCACCTTAAATTTTTTTCTTAAGATGTAGGTGTTCGTAAATCTCAAGGTTTTTTCTTCACAGGTCTCATTCAATATGTTCTCTTGGTCATCTACAAGGTATATACTTCCTTTCTTAATTTCTCTAGATTTAATTCTAAGTCAATTGTTGATTTCAGTTAAAAAGTAATATTTTATAGAGTAGCAATCTACAAGCACTCAAGATGGTTGTCCTCTTATTAGTCCCGTTAGGTACATCAATTGTCTCTCTCTTTTTTTTTAGTTTTTTGAGGCTATGCCATTTGTCTTTGAGAGACAATGGCTACCACTAGTATTGGCTCCCAACGCCTTTACTAGACAGCCCCATTTTCTTGCTTTGACTCATTATTGACTTGGTGAGTTTTGAGACTATGAACTTGCCTTGTCTTATTGATACTTATACTTTGATATTTTTGACAACCTCCAATCTGATGGTCTAGCTCTCCACAATAGAAACACACTCTTTTTTGCATCAATATTTGTCGTCTTTGTGGTGTGAATGATCTTTATAAGGCATCAATCTCCATTAGCATTGGTTGTTGTATCCTAATATTATATAGGAGCATTGAACTTCGTACTATAGGTCATGCTCCACGATTTTGAAAATCTATAGCATCAACTCTCTCTGCAATCCAAATTGTCTTTTTGAATGTTTGTGGATCTCTTAGCTCCACCTGTTGTTACATTCCAAGTTTCAAACTTCATAGAAATTGATCCATCATCTTTGTCTTTGAAATATTGTCAATTTGAAGACATAGGGACTTGAATCGGGAGACAAAATCTTACACCGACCTAACTTGTGTAAGATTTGTCAGTTGATTGCATGCTATCTTCTTCGCATTGATGGATCGAAATTGATTCCTAAACTCAGTCTCAAATTCCTCCTAGTCACAAAATCCACCTTGAGCTCCATAACTTTGAATTCAATGCCTCTACTAAATGGCTGTCCCATCTCTTATATAATTGGCTGCATATATGATTCCTTCATTGGTATCTATCCCAGATAGTTGGAGGTATTGTTGCATGTTGAAGAGCCATTGACATACATCTTCTTGTCTTGAAGTTTTAGAGTATGTACTAAGCTTATTCAATTTCAACCTAGCAGATGTCAATTCTCTTGTCCTGAAGGCTTCTATTTGCCATTGCAAGGTAGCTATCTAGCATAAAAGGTATTGTATTTGAACCTCCATCTAAGATTGCTCTGTCATATCTTCTATAAGGTAATTTCTGTGCTAGACTCTACTTTCATAATTTCTTCTTATCTCATGATTAACTTTTTAAGAGTAGCTTGTGATAGCCTCAATAAAATACCCTGGATGACAACAACAACTAATCTTGGACTAAATGATGACTACTGTACCAAAAGTAAACAATTTAACACTCATCTTAATATAAATAAAACAACACTAGACTATTTTAGAAACTCAAGATCCTTTTAATCTACAACAACATAAGGCCTTATCATAAAATAGGACAAAATAAATCAGAACAAAATTGAATGAAACTAAACAAAATAGGACATAAAAGACAAAATTGAGCAAAAAGAAATAGAACAAAACAAAATAGAATAGAACAGATCTGAACAAAAAGATGCAAAATCAAACTTTACTAAGACAAAAGGTCCAAAACCATACTAAAGCACATGCCCGAAAAGGCCTTGGCTAATCCTATTTGTACCTTGTCCTACCACCTTAGACCTTCTAGAATGTTCCTAGGTAATGGGCCCCATCTAGACAATCACCTTAAATTCTTTTTCTAGAAGTTTTTAAGATAGGCCCCACCTAAATAACTGCCCAAGCTTTTTCTAGAAGATTCTATGATAGGCCCTACTTAAGTAATTGCCTTAAATCTTCTTTAGAATGTTCCATGGTAGATCATACTTAGTCCATTAACCTAACTTCAATTCTAGAAACTTCTATGGTTCTAATTATCTATATAACTATCTTATCTATATCTTCTTATAATCAATCTTCCTCCACTAATGCAGAATGTCTTCATTTTGCTCTCAATAGTATCTCCAAATTGTCTCTTGGCAATGGGTGAGGTTTTGTGCAGGTTCCTACATTGCATTGTGAATGGAATAACCTTTCTAAAGAACTTTGTATTGAAGTTGTCGTCCACTGCCAAGACGAAGGCTATTATTATTAAAATAAAATATATAAAATTAATATTTTCATATTTAGAGATATAGAAATAATTATTTTTAACTAATTTTTCAGATAGAAAAAAGTAGAACAAGAGTGAAATAAAAACAAAAATATCTATATATAGAATTATTGATATAAGAATTGTTTTCGAAGAAACCACAATTTTATTTTATTCTTGATAATCTAAATTGAAAAAGTCCAATCAAATCATCTTGCCATCAAGCTAGATAATATACTAGGTCTATCTAAGACATGTCCAAAGGATTAGTGGACAATTGACTAAATACTTTAAGTTGGCTAGCATGAGAGATTATAGTCTAATATTCTTTTAGATATTTTAATTATTTTTTAAGCTGAAGGCTCTTCCTAGATCAAGAATATATCCGAAGTCTAATTTCAAATGAAGAAGTATTATAACAAAGTTGCAACTCATAATAGCAATATCAATTGACTTAACAAAAAATATCGAATGCCTCAATGTAGTGGAAATATCTTATTAAGAATTACATCCGCAAAAAAAATTAAAGTGAAAAATATTTAAAAGTTGTTATTGAAATGCCCACATTAGTACCAAAATAAATGACTCCCAAGATTACACCCACCTTGCTTGTATCCAATGTTATTCATAGCAATGTATTTTTTTTTATCCAACTAGTCAATGTATTTGATACATAATTGGTTATTAAAGTAGACTCCAATACTATGATAACTATATTGAATATCAAAAATTATGATTGGTCCATCTAGACAATAATTTGATGCTCAAAGAAATTCTAGTGTACACTAATATGGTCAAATACAGAAACTTATGATAATAATGCAAAAAAAAACTAAAAATCTAAAACATTCACCATTTCGTTTTAGAATATTTAAGTATATATATATATATATATATATATATTCCAGCATTATGATTTTATTTCTATTTTAAGTTAGTCCTAGCAATGGATTTAAGCATATCTTAGTTTTGTAGATTGGAGTAAAATTAGAAATCGAGAGTGAAGTTTGGTCTGAAACCCAGATGCATTTTCATGTAGCTGCGTTCACACCGACGTCAGATAATATCTGGTTCTTCCGCCGAACACACTTCGACTCCTGGAAAGCTTTGCGGTGATCTGCTAGGCAATGCATTCGAAGAGGATGATCGTGCCAAAATCAATTTCTATCATGCTTCACGAAGTCTGAAACGCAGGCTTTGCACGCTGCAATCCTTTCCCTTCACGCGGGCTTCGAAAGTCATTTTATTGCGGGTATAGGAAAGAGTTTCCTGCATTTCTCGGTTGATTGAGGCGTGTAGCACAATATTTCGTTTGAGAAGCATATCACAACTCTTGGTGCTTTTCGCTGTTGAATTTGATGACGCAATGAGGCGTCTCAGACTCCCTTTGCTGCATGCGGTGCGCATATTATGCACAAATCGTTTTGTGGGAATTGCTCGTCAGCGAGCTCGCACCCAGGATGGCGTCTTTGGAGGCAGTTCGAAACATGGGTGGTGGCCTGCCACCGCGAGAAGATTTTCTACTGCCGGTAATTTTCCTTTGGGTTCCTGGAAGTGTAGTTGGAGTTCGTTTGTTGATGGGTTTATCAAGCAGCAGTAGTTGGCAGCTTCGTTTAGGAGTTGAATTGGTGGAGTAATTTTTATTGCTAAATCTTGTGCTGGCTGATGACGCCTTTGATTTCGTTAAGCGAAACGTCCCTTAGAAACTGATCGGTGGGAGGTTTGGCTGTATATTTGTGCTGATGAAAATGTATGCTCTCAGATGAGCTATCTAGGGTTTAGGGGTTAAGGATTCCAGGAAATCTGAATTAGGTCGTTGATGGGAAAGGAAATTCTGCAGTCTGAATTTTTTCTTGCAGTTAAAAATAATCTTTTGATATAAACTTCATTTGGAGGGGTTTAGATACGAGTGTAAGCATCCTTGTGAGAGGTTATGGTTGTGACGTTGCCTTTGAAGAATGCATTCAAGCCCGTTGCACGTTGAGGATTGAGCAAGGAACCGAAATGGGTGTTCCTAAATCGTCATAGAGCATGTTTTACACGATCTGTGAAACTAGAAAACCCCAGCAATGAAAAACTTTTATGAGCTGAAGATAAGTTGCCTAAAATGTCGTGAGTTTGTGATGCAGAAGGGCAGCTTCCTTTTTCACCAGATATGTTGTCAATAGTAGAGAGGGGGATGTTAGCGATAGAGCATCGTCATTCCCGACTAAATCAGGCTCTCTCCGAGGTAGGATACCTCTTTTTGATGCGTGAAAGATATCAATTCTAGGCGTAAGTTTCATACAATTGTTAGGATTGTAACGCCATAACGTTCTTTACTGGAGTTACGAGAGAGAAGTGAATTGCAGGAGGAGGTATGTTCAGTACTTTGTGTGATATTGTATCACTAACTAGCAGACCTCAATAAAGTCTGTCTGAATTGTAAAACTCTATGATTGCAAACACTACCTAGGTGTTAGCTGTGAGATGAGTATTACGTTCAGAAATACATTTGTTCACCTATCTCTTCGTAATTACAAGCTTACGTGAACTGACTAAAAAATGAGTCGTGTAAAGTCAGTCTGCAGCTTGTCCTGATGAAATTATACGGTTGAGCAAAGAGCTTAGCAAGCTGGAGGACTTAATGGCTTGTATTACTTCCTTAAAAAATACGCGCAAGGTATACTTCATTCTAAACGTCGCTTTCATGGTTAGCTTAAATCAATGCGTGATGTGTGAGGTTTTAAGGATCGTATTTACATGAACGTTATTGGACAAAACACATCTAAGGATTACAAGGCTCCCGGACTTAAAATTTGGAGTGTATCTTCACAAGTCATTATTCAGCGACCTCCTGAAGTCTCATGCAATGTGTTCATTTGGTGATTGAAACTCGCTGATTTGTATTGATTTATTGCAGGAGATAGAAGGGTTGAAAATGCTGATAGAGGAATCAGCGGAAGACGAGGACATGAAACAAGCAGCAGCAGAAGAGCTGCGCTCTGTATCCAATCTAGAAACTGAGGATCTGCAACGAATGCTATTACTAATGCTCCCAAAAGATGAAGCTGATAGTCGTGGTTGTATTCTTGAGGTCAGAGCTGGTACGTAACCTTCTTCTACTTCTTCTTGTGGTGTTTATTGTGTTTTGTTCTAGGTTGTTGGTGTGTGTGAGAGTGTTGATTGGTTGGTTTGTTTGTTTGATATAAATTTTATTAGTATTAATGTTTTTGGTTTAAGTTTTTGTTTCACGGATTCATAGCTTTTAGGTCGTTAATAGTACTGAGAACCTTAGAAGCAGCTTATAATTATGCATCAGTCTTACATTTACCTTTACCAGGTACTGGTGGAGATGAGGCGTCGTTGTTTGCTTCGGACATTTTTAGAATGTATGTTCACGTACCCTCCTCCCCCTATTATGCTCATGCTGCATATTTTTTTTGTTATAAACCAAATCCTCATTAACTACCATAGAGCTTTCTGTACTTTACTACGAACTGAAACTTGAATAAAGAAGTGGCTAGTAGATAGGTGGACACCTCTGCTAATTGCTGCTTTGCAGCTTCTAATCTATAACTTGGATAGTTTTCAATTTGCAGGTACGAGAGATACGCACAGAAAAAGTTGTGGAGTTTTGAGGTTTTAAGCATAACTCAGACTAATAGCAAAGGATACAAGGTTCGTTTCTTGTAAATCTTCACCTTCATTATGAGCATATCTGTGGGGAAGGCTTCTTTTTGGAAACTCTGAAGTTCCTAACCAGTGATCAGGAAATGTATTGAGTTGCGCTCGAATCGATGCAGGAAGCAAGTGCCTCTATTACTGGAGATGGTGTGTATGGAAAACTCAAATTTGAGAGTGGCGTGCATAGAGTCCAGGTATCCGTGGTTTTGAGAGTTTATCTATTCTTTCTTGAGTCAACCTTTGCAATTGAGATGTGAAAATACTCGTTACTGTGAAGGGACCATTGATGTCCCTCTGGCTAGCCTACTTAGTGTTCTTCACGTGTCTTAACTTACTGGGAGTTTCTAAGATCTGTTTCTGTTTCCGCCGATGTCTATTCTGTTTTCTCAACAATTTGGATCGTTGAGCAGACGAATTTTATTGATTAAGAGACGATGTATTTGTTTGAATTGCAGAGGGTTCCAGTGACAGAGAAGAGTGGGCGGGTGCACACGAGCGCAGCCTCAGTTGCTGTTCTTCCACAAGCAGACGAAGTAAGAATAATAATACGTTCAAGGCTTTAATACAACGTATCCACATTGAGGCCACTGAGATGCCAACTTTGAACCTTGCTCGTATCTTGTGCCTATGAGTTGTCTTCACACGTGTGTGTTTGTGTGTGTGACTCGCTTTTTTCATCCGTGAGTCAACACCCCTCAAAATTATGCGTAGAATTCTAACCTTCCACGTCTGAAAAAACACTCGTCTATCCTATTTTCTTCGAATCGAAAATACGTATAACAACAGGGATGTTTTGAACTCAACATATTAACAGTGTTGAGCATGTTAAAACTGTAGGTTGATGTTCAAATGAGGAATGAGGATCTTAGAATAGACACTTATCGAGCTGGTGGAGCAGGTGGTCAACATGCCAACACTACCAGCAGTGCTGTTCGTGTTACTCACTTACCCACGGGCATTGTTATTGCGATTCAGGATGAGCGTTCTCAGCATATGGTACGAAGTACTCCTTTGAAGTTGTATCAGAGTAGTCATTACTTCATATGGTTCATGATATTCGTGGAATAGATAGTTATGCTAGGATGTGGAGTATTTTGAGCTCAAGTCTTGCATTTAATAATACTTTTTAAAAGTTTACATTGTATTCCCATATACAGAATAGAGCTAAATCTCTGAAATTGCTACGCGCTAAGCTGTTTGAGAGAGAGAGGATGCAGCAGGCCATGGCACGGTCTACTCTTCGACTTGAGCAGGTAATCAATTGGGTTAAGCAATTTCCTTAAACAATCACTGCCAGCGTAACACTGCACAAACACCGCATGTTCTCTCGTGGATCATCCTAGTTTGACCCATCTGCATGCTCATGCTCTGTATGCCTAGACCCATGATGAATTCAGCTTATGTCTATATTGGGGTTATTATACTGCAGATTGGAAGCGGTGACCGATCAGAGCGTATACGTACTTACAACTTTCCTCAAGGGAGAGTTACTGACCATCGCGTAAACATTACCCAACATTCCATCGTTCAGATCATGCAAGGGGAAGGTTTGGATGGTTTCATAGATGCTTTGACCATGAAGCAAGAGATTGCGGCTCTGGCATCTCTTAAGGCTACATCGTGATTCTGCTCCTCATAATTCCCTTTTTACATTCTTTTCTCTGCATTCTTTTTTCGAATGGTGTATTAGCCATATGGATTGCTTGAGGTTGGGGATTCTATGCAATCTTAGAGATCAAACCTCTTGTGTTCAAGAAGTACACACTTACATCCCATATTGATAATCATAGCATCCTTCTAGATGGATGAATTTGTATTGAAGGCAAGTGTCCAGCTACTTTACTACAATACATCAAGAGATATCCTGATTTCACAGTCCCAATTACAATAAAGGGTTAAAATTCTTGGACAATTGCCCTTCGTTGTCGCTAGCTTATTCAAGTAGTAACGGCACAGCAGTGCACATCAAACAATTCTCTGCTGGTTTTTTAGGGAATTGGATTTGAATCGTGTAATCATAGATTTGCTGAGTCATCAACTGCAGTTGTGCCTGATTTAATCAATACCTAGTCTATTACAAGGCAAGTGAATCTATATAGCTAATGTAATTTTCTTACCTTCCATTAATTTTCAATATTTAAGTATGGTTCTGATATGGTTGTTTACTATGAGTAAGATTAGATATTTCCGAATCATAATACACAAATTTATACACTATAGACGCACAATAGTAACACAGAAACTATAGAAAGATAAAAACATGGCTTCTACTATGTGTGGAAAGGAATAGAAAGTGGAAAAATTAAAAAGGAAGAAAAATCAGTAATATTCTCTGTTTAGATCCCTGGCTAGAAACTGCCCCACCCAGCAGTGGTGTATTGTACATTGGCTCTCTCAAGCTTCCTGTTTCCATTTATGACAAAACAATTTATATCACATACTGCATTGAGTGGATGAGTGTTTTTTATTTATTTATTTTAAAATCTCATTTAAGTAGCATATCATGTTCAATATGAACCAGATGGCTTTCCAAGGAGTGCTCAAAGTACAATCAGCCTCTCTTAACAACTGGGCTGGATTGGCCCTCATCCAACCAAATCTTGTACTGAATGACTCACCCCAAACCTCCTCAGAACATGGATCCAATGTTATTAATATAAAGAAAAAGTTCCTCAAGATGTCCAGAGAATGCAATCAATCATTCATGGACTTCAAAATGATGAAGAGGACCAACTCAGGTACACTAAAGAGTGGAACATCCCATGTACAGTTAGTGCCAAATAGTGACATTGTGATTGAATTCTAGAGGGATGGTAAACTAAGACTCTTATGTCACATTTTCTTATGTGAACAATAATCAGCATCTACCTGTTGGTTGAGAGTCATTGGGTGGTGTCTGAATATGAGATCTACCACATTTAAATAATACTTCCATCTGTGCATGATTATTGGATGCATATATTCTAGTTGTTAAGTTGCACCAAATTGGTTTTTACTTGAAAATGAAATTAAAACAATACAAATGCTTGTTTCTACTAAAATTGTGTTTTATTAAAAGTTACTTATTTTATGTTGAGTGAAAAATCCAGAAATTTAATTTTAACATCTGTATCAAGACTCAAAATTTGATAATTTTAATTGTATGACCTCAGTTAACAACTTCAATATGATAGAATTTGTTTCATTTTGCACTTTGAAATCTTTATGAAAATATAACAAGTTATACACACATTCATATGTATGTTCACACATGCATACATTGCTCTCATGGGAATACAAAAGTCTTAAAATTTCCTAAATAAAAACATTTAAATAAATAATTAAAGATAGAACTTTAACACACTTTATATACATTTTTAAAAATCAAGTATATTAATTTCTTATATTTATGTTATATAACCATCAAAACGAATTATATTCATATATATATATATATATATATATGAAGGAGATAATACTAAAAAATTATTTAATATCAATTTTAGTTCAATTTATTTTAAAATATTAATATTTTATTTATGAAATGAAAAGAGCTTGTAAAACATACTTTTAAAATATTTAGAAAAATTATGATTATTAAAATAATAAATATAGAAATATCATGATTTTACAAGATAATTAGTGTTAGAAGCACTTTATAATTGGAAGTCCATTATGAAAGGCTGTGGTTCAGAAGCTTTATCAAGGTCCCCCATTTGGTGAAGAAAATATCTCTTTTCAAAGCCTTAGGGTATAGTACAAAGTCAAAAGGATCTATAATATAGATTAAATCATTCTTTAAATGCAATTCCAAAATTTTTATGCCCATATTTTTAGAGAAAATATTATATGTACCCCTGAAATATGTTGAAATATCAAGAATACCCCTATATTCTTGATAATAACAAATGTACTGCCCAATTCTGTAAGCATATCAAATCTACTCTTCAACCTGATAATCTATCACAACTATTATTTTTTAAGTGCAACTGGGGCCCAACCTCTTTGCCGCAGAGAATTCGGCGGGCCCTCTTCCACTTTTTTTGGCCAAGGAACTGCTGGGCAGCAGTGACCATGCCAAGCTTTCTTGCAAAAATCTGATGAATGTACGCACGCGAGATCATTGCTGCAGAGGACCAAATTGACATCCTAAAAGTGGGACAAATGCATACCCGAAGTGAGTCAAGGCATGGTCACGTCAAATGAGGAGCCGAAGCTGATTTGTGGGACTCTTCGGGAGATTCAATGCATGTGCTTGTTTGGAGACCAAGTTTGATTACAACAGGTCCATGCAGATTTCATTGACAGCCAGCGATGATGTTGGCAACGTGAGGCAGTCGGGCCCTTTGAAATGCTGATGATCATGTTTTTGTAGACTGATGGACAGCTCGCTTGTTCCTCTACTGCTACAAACGTATATGGCAAAGGCTTATTGGAGCAGTGTGATGAAGTTGAATGGAGATGAGATGGAAATTCAAATTGTTCTTTTCCACCTCTGCATTGCTACGAGAGAGGTTGTTGAAGTGAAGCGTCTCCCCCACCCTTGACAACAAAAGAGAAGGAATAACCATCGGGTTGCAGGTGATCAACACCTTGAGCTGAAGTTTACAAATCCCTAATTTCAACTATCCAACTGAGCGTTTTGCTCTGAGCGTGATCGCTGGGCTTTTGGATCCGATTATACGGGTGAGAAGCAGGATCTGGTTCACGTACAATGTAATTTATTGCTGTGTGCCTGTAGGTACATGCAGTTTTGAAACTTGAGTGTAGATAAACGATTGATATTACTCCTTTTTAATGTATGAACCATAAAATAGCTAGATGAGCAAGTTTGTGTTCTGCAGGCCTTGTGCATTGTGTATACTTATCGCTAGTTTAAGATGGACGACTTAGAAAAAAGAAAATTAAAAATTAAAAAAAATCTTTCTAATGTGTTCGACGAACGACCTGTTTCGAGCTGCTTATTGAAAATCTCAATTATTTTCCGAAACCTCCAGATTTCACTTCATAGTTTCAATTCCTCAGCACTAGCAGTTTCATCCGTCACTTAGATAGCAAGAAACACAATGGCTCTGATGTATGCGAAAGGGTGCTACGCTTTCTCAGAATTCCACTGAACAACAAAAAATGCGTGCAAATTGTCAATTCGTAGATCCGTCGAAGATTCCCACTTGCATCCGGCGGGAATTTATTGTGTAATTAAACAATGCAAAACATTCTCTGAATCCATCACTTATCATCAACAACCTCTTGTGGTGAAAATACACACCACCAACCACCTCTAACCTCACATGCTTCAGAAAACACACCCTAGTTTCAGACCTACTCTTTACATCTAAATTCACATCGAGCTTCAAACACTTGAGATGTATCTCTTGAGATGATTAAATGTAGCCGGCTCTCTCCATAATATTTACTGTAGACTACAGTAATTACCATAGCTATAGTATTTAGAGTCTAGTGGAGAAGTACTGCTTATCCTCTCCTCTTTTCTCTTCTTGTATACGAGATACAACCAGATTAATAGAGATTGGTGTGTGTGAAGCTCTCTCTCCTTAGAAACCCTTTTGTACGTATGACTTATTACTACTCTTGTGTGTGTGTATGACTTACTATTACTCTTGTGTCTTTCTAAATATTCTCAACACATTATCAGCATGATTCTCTTCTACACACTATGACAATTTTTTGCTCTAGTCTTTGACTCTTCAAACCTGTTGCTACCCTTGCTCAGTGTCTGCTTCATGATCTTGTTCTTCTTGTTGGTTCCTCACACATTAGCTGCTTGCTTAGAGCACTTATTCCACTCCCTACCTTGCTTGCTCTGAATACTTGATCCAGCCCAACTCCACCCTCTGTTTTCTCCTTGGTGTACCCCACTCCTGTCGTCGAATAGATGTCGAACTGTCGCCGAACTATCATCGAACCCGCCGCTGCCACCTTATTGCTGTTGATGTTGCCGCCCATTGCCGTTGTCATTGCTGTCCATCGTCGTCCGTCGCCGCCGTTGCCGTTGCCTGCTATTGACATCTTATTGCTATTTTGCTGCCTTAATCTACAACTCTCTCCTTAAAAATATATATATATATATATATATATATATATTTTTTTTGTTTTTTCAAGTTCAAGTTTATCATTTTATTTGACTTTATATTTTAAGGTACGTTTTACTCAACTTTTCTACTTGATCTTGTATTTTCTTTATAGATTTATTTATAATGAGTGCTTCAACATCTTCAACTGCTTCTACTATGGTTCCAACTATTACCAGTGCATCCCAACATTTTCAAGCTCTTTTATTTCCACCATTGATTGTGGATGGAAACAATTATCTATTATGGGCAAAAATGGCAAAAGCAAATTTATTTGCAAAACAACTCTCAGATGCTATTATGTTTGAAGAATCTCCTACAACAAGTATTTCTATATCTCTTGCTATTCGTTGGAAAGCACTTCTTCTCCTTCGTTGTCATCTTGTACCTGCATTAAAACATCAATATTTGGAAATGGAAGACCCTGCAGAACTTTGGAAGAATCTTAAATCTAGGTTTGATCATCAAAAGACCATTTTTCTTCTACGTGCACGTCATAATTGGACACATTTACGTGTCTTGGATTTTTCAAATTTAAATGCTTTCAATAGTGAAATGTATAGTATTGTCTCACAATTATGATTATGTGGACAAAGCATTTTTGAAGAAGAAATGATTGAGAAAACTCTCTCTACATTTCTTCCTGCATTTGCTGTGCTTGCACAACAATACAAGAACATGAAATTTCAGAGTCATTCTGATCTCATGTCCTATTTACTTCTTGCGGAAAAGCAAAATGAGCTACTCTTATGCAATGTGGAAGCTTGTCCTATTGAAACTACAATTCCAGAATCTCATGCACTTAATATTTCAAAGTCTAAGAAGAAATTATATAAATATG